CTGTTGAGCATCACTCTACATATTATAGGTATAGACATAAGTGCCTATAGCTATACTTGTACGTTAAAAAATAAATTAATACATTGTTGTGTGGCCGAAGCATCATATTTGACATTGCGTCTATATTTTTCAGATACTCGAAAGAAAATGTCGTTGTTAGACTCGGTGAATATGATTTCAACATTGATAACGAGACACAGTACATCGACTACAGAGTAACAGACATTAGAATACATCCAGATTATGACCATGCTACGCACGCCAATGACATCGCCATAGTGAGGTTGAATAGACCTACAATTTACAATTCGTTTATTCGACCTATTTGTTTGCCCAAAACAAATATGCAGGTGTACAACAGGAACGCCGTCGTTGCCGGTGAGAACTGTGACAACAGACATTTTTAAAATTGCGTATAAATGTTATTATAGAAGGTACCTGCTATAATTATACTTATACAAATACGTATTACTTAAATAGACAGCGTTACTTTAATAATATGAAATTATTATGTACGCCAAAATCTTCTGCCGTCGAGTTCATGAATGATAAGTCGAATAGATTCTACGGCAGTTTTATTGTTTTACGCAGCAGGAAAATTGTACGGATATAGAATCAAAAAATATTCCTATTAGGTACCTTATACCCACTTAAAAACATTTTAATCGCCCACTGTGGAAAACAAAGGTCGAAAAGTCCGGCAATAAGTTTTCAAAGATGCACTGTTAGGTAATGTATTGGCTTAATAATTATTATTAATTAGGTTGGGGGCAAACAGTTTACGGCGGTAAGGTCAGTAACGTTCTCCAAGAAGTGACAGTGCCAATATGGGAACACGACCAGTGCGTCTCAGCTTTTTCACAGCCAATATCCAAAACAAATCTCTGTGCTGCGTCCTATGAAGGGGGCAAAGATTCCTGTTTGGTATATACAATCAAACATAATATTTTTTATCTAATAATTATTTCAATAACATTTTATAATATTTTATACTTACCGTCACTATTTCAGGGCGATTCCGGTGGTCCGCTGTTAATGCAAAGGCATGATGGAAAATGGACTAATGCCGGAGTGGTGTCTTGGGGCATTAATTGCGGAGGAATTGGAATTCCCGGCGTTTACACAAAAGTCACTTCTTACCTCAAATGGATAGCTGTGAACGCACAAGATGTCATTTAACGGCTGACCCGCTAAATGTCATATTTTAGATTATTATAGGAACATTATCCAAATTTACTTAAAAAAAAATTTTATTTTAATCTAATACCTAATCAACCATGAATATGTATACCAAAACAACTACTATAAACAATAATTTAAATATTTTATCGGATGCGAATAATTTATTATATCTTGTAATATTCAACACTACAGCATAGATTTAATGCAGCAGCTAGAGGCTTTATAATTATTAGAAATATTTTAGATACTAACTTAAAATTTATAATYATAAGTTAACCATGATGGTTTGTGCACCAAGATAATTAAACAATTATAATATTTTACCAAATGCAAATATCTTTAACGACACCTTTATTTAACTAATAACTTCAGTATGTCTGCAGTAYMTACTGACGTGTGACCAAAGATGATAGCTTATATTTTAGAATAGTTCCTTATAATAATTATTATTATTGAGTTCAACACAAGCGTTCGACTTTATTAACATCCCACAAAATTCTGTATGCATTCTATTTCAAATGGTTTCATTTAAAATTACTATAATTTATTTTCATTTAGTCACTTATCTTAGCTCAAATAATCGCAATTTTGAATTCAAATCTGAAGAACTCTGTCATATTGCAGGATGACATTATAYGGCAATACCCGTATTGATGGTAAAATGTATTAAACCAAACCGCTTAGTCATATGTATGAAATGAACATGTAATTAAATATTTWTTTTTTTTTTTGACGGACATGTCAAGGACACCCTAATATTTTATCAAACAGTAGTATTATACCTATGCATGTAATTCTCACCATCACAGRTTAAATGATTCTTGGAAATCAGAATWAATTAATCATTATTAAAGTATAATATTATAACCGCACTGAGAAATTTGAATTACTATATACAGAGTGATTCTTTTATCAAACAACACTCATATGGTGTTGGTGTGTAAATACCACCTAACATACACCTATAAACACACAAACACTACTCAAAACCACCCAACTTTGGGGGAGGCTATATCTTGTAAACGGATTAACGAAAAATTAAAAAATTTAAAGGTGAAAATTCATTGAAAAAATAACTTTTTTAATTTATGAAATTCTAAGTACAATAGGTTGTCATTTGAAAATCAAAATTTAATAATGGTTTACCTGATAAATATAAGAGTGAAAATATTCAAAAAAATATATGGTTCTAGAACAAGATGGATTTAACATTTTGAAAAAAGTAAATAGTTTTTGAAATAATGAGTGTTGTTTGATAAAAGAATCGCCCTGTATTGTATTAAGTTACAAATATTTCAAACTCTCTAAATTTTAGCTATCAATTTGCAATTTGCACAGTAGGCTATTCCGCGGGAGTATACTACAAATCACATATTGACGTTATTGAGTTAAACAAAATAATGTCTACTACCTAGGTACTCTGCTGAAATGATGAAGTACATATTTTATGAGAAACGGGATCCATTATTGAATCCAAAATGCCATGAACGCGTGGTGAAATCTAAATTATTTTCTAAATTCGATAGATAGGAAGAACTGAACCATTTCGGGTTATTATTATTTTACCGCAGTTTATTTGATTCTATGAAATTGCTTAGAATTGGCTAAACAACATTATTTCAATTTTTAAGTTTTGTATTACTCATCTGTAAATTACCTACCTATTAAATATTAAAATTAATATTTATTATTGTATACTATTCAACTAAGGCATTTAAATTATGCAATACATGTGCAAAAATTCAGAGAAATCTTTCATTATCATTTATCAGCTGTATGTTTGGTCACTGCCACGAAACTATTAAGGAGTAGACAATTATAGAACTAAAAAACAAAAATTAAATATTATTATGTTTAGACGAGTTCCGTATTTACCAAAAGGTATAACTGAATTACCTATAATCGTGCCTATGTATCTTTAATGATTTAAGTTGTTAAAATAATAATTTGAAGAAATCTTGCATTTTTTTTGCAAGAATTTTAATAATTTAATCTGACGAAAAAATATTGGTAGACATTAGGTATATGGGAAAAAACTAAAAAAATTGTTGTGTTTATAAAYAACTAAAAAGAGACAAACATTTTGAAAATTGTATCATATGTATAAAAAATGATTAGACATACGTTTGGAGGTTAAATAGTATATTTACGGGTTTACGGTTTTGATATCCAATGTCAAAAAAATTTTAACTTCAATTGCTCATATAAAAAATTATTATCTTGAATTTACATCTTTTTTTTCTAATTAGGTACACTAATAACAACTTATGAAAAACCTTATATTACATTTTATTAAAARAATAATAAAGAAATAAAAAGAGTCAAAGATATTTTGAATACTTTATGGTGTAGAATTTTGTGTGCTTGAAAAAAATAGGTACCAACTAGAGTCACTGTCCCACCATAGAAGATACTAAAATTAAAAATCAAAACACAAAAAATAATCTAATTAAATTTAAATGATTTTCCTTTTTGCAGTCTGCATAATATGCACTATTGGAGGGAATGCATYAGCAATTTGTCTCATATTCTTTTCGACAGTCCTTCGCTCTCCATTAAACGTCAGAACTTAGTAATTTATATTACTTCTCTTAACCTATTCTTTAAAGTTGTATTAATTAATCTCTGCGCCGTTTTCTAAATTCTAACATAATTCTAAACAGGTCGTTATTATTATTTTCTTTTGTTCAGTAGGCTGGTTTTATCATTTGATTTTTTTTTTTTGTATCCTTTAATTTTATGTATTTAGTTCTATAATACATATTACTTATACTTAATATTACTTTATTATTTTGTTTGTTTATTTATTTTTTTTTATATTGGTTTGTTAACATATTTTTAATGCATTGTATTAGGCTATAATATTTATTAACAAAAGTTAATAAAAAAAAAAATAAAAAATACCATACATAAGTTACGGCGTCAATTTGAAATAAATAAAATTACTGACCAAAGTCCCGAAGAAATTTATGCAGATGTCCGGAAACTGCAGCCGAGTACAAAAAAGGCTATATAATATGTACCTATACATAAATACGTCGTATTAAAATATTTTGAATAATAATTGTATTGTCATTGTTATTATCGCGTGCGGTTCGTATAGAGCTTAGAATGTTATTATGAGAAATATATTATATTATTATAAACACTACGACCTATTCTGTATATTTTCCGTATTAGCGACTACTGTTTTGGCAAAACCAGGGAAGTGAGAACATCCAAACCGGTTTTTTAGCCGATGTCGAGTACCTACAATATAATATAATGACGCGTGTATTTCTACTCCCATAACGATTAACATAAAATAATAATAATGATATATTATTAACGTCTCGATGACATCACATCACCACTCGTACCTGCGTGTTCAAACCGTACAGATCTCGGACGCCATGCCTGACGAAACACATTATTGTTGCTGAGAAGAATAC